CTCTACTGTTTACTTGGATTGGATCTCTATAATAATCTAGCGTAACGGGCCGTCATGAGTGTTCATATGGGGAATAAATAGAATAAACACAGAGGACAGGTAAGCGTACAAATAATAGCCTTCACCTAACTACAACCACCTGACTGTGCTAACAGATCATATTAGTAATATTGAGGAAGAGCGGCCACCAAGTTGCCCAAGGCCGCACTCTCTCTACACTAAAGGTAACGCTCTATGCCGCCCTGTCATCGCTATACAGGCGGCGAACACCATTCTAAAGATTGATCCAAGTCACACCGGTCCATGGTCCATCGGATCGTCACACTTCCCCTCAAGCGACGTAGTTTTATTGTTCCGTCTGTACCTCACTGTAGTCATGTCTTAACCCAACCCCTGATTCCACTTAGGATATCTCAGTCAGCTGTTCTGCAATCTGCTCCGTCATATGCTCTATATCATTAGGTTTGACGTCCCTTTGCGGAAGGACTCAGTGTAATACAATGCACACACGACCTGAGAGCCTCCCCCATCTTGAGAACGAAGGTTTTATAAAAAAAAAAAGGAAGAAAACACAGCAGGAAGAAGGAAAGGGAAAAAGCCCAAGAAAAGATACAGAGAAAAGAAAGGGAATTCAAGAGGCTTTTCGTGACGAGATACCATCTGAAGCGCATGTTTCTTCGCTAACATGTCAAGTACGCGTCAATCGCCGTACAAATATACTCCCAAAAGCCATGTACCTGCCTAGTATCTATCTACCAGGGTAGGCTGTCAATCCCAACGCTCGCTTCTCATGTGTCGCAATAGCGGCCCCGGATGGAGGCAGCAGGCAGAGGCAGTGGGCAGTAGGCAGATCCTCAAGGTTGCTGTTCGTCTCGAGACGACCCTTGACTGCCTCCACTTCCATTGCCTCCCGCAAATCGCTCTCGCAGCCAGCTGAGCGCACCAGATTGTCGTCGAGTCTCTCGGTCTCCATTGCCTCGCCTGTCATTTTCGGATGGGCTTCTTTGTCGCATGCGAGCACCCTGCTCGGCCAAATTGAATGCTCTCGGACTTGGTGGCGAGTGCGACGTTCTACGCTGCATTCGTGACGTGTCGTAGCTCATTTCAGACATGTTCGCTCGATTCCGCCTATCATTTTCTCGTTCTCGCTGGGTATTTGCCACGCTGCGGAGCGCTTCATTCAGCCTACTTTGACTCGGATTCGACGGCCGGGATTGAGGATCAAGGTTGACCGAGGAAACCAAGTCTGCCGCCGCTCTGCCTGTGGGCGTATCATAACCGTTCTCGGATCTATTTCCAATATCTCGCGACTGATCCGAGTTGTTTCGGCTGAAGTTTGCTGGTGGGGTGGGCGACGGCACATGGAAACGAACGTTGCTCGGCCCAGGAGCACCAGCAGCACCTGTGCCGCTCTCGCCTCTGTTGTTTTCTTGTCTTTGTTGGCCCTTTTCAATCGGAGTTCGGCAAACTGGACACGTATTGTGCTGTTTCAACCATGGCACAATACACTCGTCGTGAAACCAATGTTTACACGGAAGATATGTAGCTACTTCTCCCACCTTCATTGCATCAATGCAAATCGAGCACTCAGCCTTGCCTTCCGGACCAAGAAATGCCTTGTCAACAGTTTTTCGATCCAAGTTGGCAATTGCTTCATTGGATGCTCGTGGAGCAGCGTTGGACTGCGACGTAGTTTCCATGAGCTGGGTTACGATGCGGTCGAGGGCTTCTTGGGAGTAAACAGCGTCGCCCATCATGGCATTAGCGGGGCTAAAATGATTTAAAATCTCTTGCAAGCTTCTAGCAAGACCAAATTGAGGGCCACCTTCACCTGCGCCATCTGGCGGGCCCAAATCTCGGATGACATTGGAAAAGAGGCTAAACAAACAGTTAGCTCATGGACTTCCAGGGCAATGAGAGGCTCTCATGGTGACAATGTAGCTGCCGTGTGACTTTCTGTTTGTAATACGAGGCACGTACGTTTGAAATGGATCTAAATTGTTCGGATTCGTAGACTCATCACCATCTTCGCCCACAGCGCCGGCACCGCGAGACCCGAATACTGGGCCAGAAAATATCGTGACTGACGCAGTTCCCCCGCCGAAAGTGCCGGATGTGATTGTAGTGCGTCGGAATCGAGGTGGTGAATAGGAGTCATTGTCTGGGCGGCCGAATAGGCTCGTGCCCTCACTTCGCCGAGGTTGACTAAAGCTTTGGATCATGTCCTGGAACCGCTGCAACACTGGGTCGACAGATGGATCGTGATGCCTATCGTCCGGGTCGGTGCGAGTACTCCGGCGGAAGTGAAATCCCTGTGGACCCATATGCTCTTCTATATCAGCTTCATCGGGATCAGAGTCGTCTGCGTGCCGTAGGGGGGGTAGGCCAGGCGATGACGAGGCTGACGAATTGTCCATTTGTCGGGGGTCATTGTCCGAGCTCACCTGGACGTGATGGTCAGCATGAGAACACTTGGTCCACACCACACAGTTGCATACAAGCACAGCCATGGTTTTGGAAGGACGTACGATTTCTGTAACCTCGCTTTCGCAATTTGGACACATCAAGCCATGGTCGTCGCGGTACCATTCATTAGAACAGGCGTGGCAAAAGACCACTTCCCGACCGGCATCGGCATCGAGATGCCCGTCACGATCGGCCCGAGACGCCATCTGGGCTTGGCTGCGCTGGTAGGCGGTAAAAGCGCTGAGACCTAAGCCCACGGCAAGGCCGGCAAGTCGGATTGCACGGAACGCCAGAGTGAAGGATATCAAGCGAAAGGGTAATGTAGCTTAGATGCCGTAACTTATGGGCAGTAGAAGCAGATAATGCCGAGTGGAAATGTGGGCGATAAGGACAAGTCGAGTGTTGTAGGTGCCTGCAGGTTGTGATCTATGCCTTATGCCGGCGTTGGGAAGAAGTTGAGAAAGTAAGGCGCCAAAGTACCTACCCAAGGTACCTTAGGCAGGCAGTGACGAAGCAGAAGGTCCAGATGTCGACGGAGGAACCTGGGAAGCGAAGCCGGGAGCAGCGTGGCAATCAACGAAGAGGGTGTTGATGCAGTGTCGGTAAGTGTCCCATGCGTCCTGCGCGTACTGATACGTCTTGAGCGCCTTGTCGACGGCCGGAATGCGAGTCAGCAAAACTTGTCAAGTACAGTCTGGTTTGTTGCAGAATATATTTGCCCACCGAGAAGTATACACCAGTATACGATGATACTTGTAATATGGAGCGCGGAAAATAGGCACCTGATCTGGTCAAATATTTTTTGCCTCCCACTGTACCTAGGTAGACGAGGAAGGGTTAGGATCGTTGCAAGTCGACGGATGCATGGGCCGTGGCGCGCATCCCCACGCGATCAATATATCATGTAAATTTGGGTACACAAACGACGGCGGAGCTGCTGAAGGTGGCAATGGGCCGGGCTGCTGTGGCGTCGGAGTCTGGTTGAGATATCGCGGCCGCACGGCACCTGGACAGAGGAATGAATAGGAAAACAAAGGGCGTGCCAGATGACAGCAGCTGTGAACAAGAGGGCGAAGTGCTAAGTTCGAGTAATGGGCAAATTCAATCAACAATGTTCGGTGTTGGTCAAAGAGTCAACCCGGAGGTGCGTGGGGCGGCGATTCAGGGTCGTGACATTGATGATGACGTTTGTCAGCGAAAAACTACTTAAGTACCTAGGTACCTGAAAACAAAAGGACACATGCATCAACAGTGAACAATTGATGGTCATGAGCTGCACGGCAGCGTTGACCCACGCACAGGCACCCCCTCACTAGCACCAGACCGGCCGGACTCCAGATGTCAACTCTGGTCATTCACTGACACCAGACCCCCTCACTGGCATCAAGAGTGCACTCAAGTGCTCACTCACTGGCGCTCACTGGCGCTCACTGGCCAGGGGCCTCCATATCAATCAATGTCCATTCAATATTCAATGTTGACTGCTGCATCACTTGGACCCTCAGTGCTCCATGTCTCCGAACTCCGTCTTTCGTCTGGTCTCGTACCAGGGACCAGTTTACCTGCGTCCTCATCAATTAATATCGGACTCGAGGCCATCTGTCTTGACTTCAGGCATACCATGTTCCGCCCGTGTCAGACTCACTGCCCCATGCCATGTCACCATCATGCTCCGTCCCTCCACATGCCCTACTACTCCGTGACGGCGTGCAAGTCACACGTCAATCACACAGCCGAAGACGCACCTCTACTCATTGAGCCAGTTCCAGGCATGTTCATGGTCGAAAATTCCGCCCAGCTACTGTGCGCTCCTTGTCTCAAAGGGATCTGAGTGGTCAAAGTGTCCGGCTGGTCTCCCGTCACGTTATGACTGGTCAACCCTTATGTCTGTCTATCTTGCCCGTCTTGCCCTCTTCACCACCTCAGGAGACACCAGATCAAACGGCAAAGACGCCAAACACCAGGCATCAATGTCGGCGGTCACCCAACTATTTCATAATTATGAAATGCAGCCGCACCGAGTTCCATAAGAGGGGGGGAGAGGGAGAGAGAGAGAATGTGCGTGTGTGTGTGTGTGTGTGTGTGTGTACACAATACTTTTGCCATGCAGACTGTACATGTGTGACCCGTGTGCCTCCCCATTTCCACTACTCTTTACCAAGTGTAACATACATATACTACACCTGTCGCTGTTGCTGTCACTTGCTTGTGCAACAGACCCGAAAGAAAAGTCAACGTTGTGTGGAAAACAGTCAGGACTGTGAAATAGACCAACATCTTGTGGGATCAATACTGGACGACCAGCAGCGTGCCAAAAGACCAGCAGCCCAATGGCATGGGCCTCGTAGCCGCCCAGTAGCACAAATCACAAACCCGCCTCGACGTTGGGCAAACGGAACCAGAGCAGAGAACTGTGGAAGCAGGCCAATTGTAGGCGTGAGAATATTCGGTCTGATCAAGATTATACACAAAGCGGTTTCCCATTCCCGATTCTCCATCAGGGGGACTTCCGTGCTTTCCACTCTTCTGTTGCCCTACTCCTTCGCATTCGCCTGCTCCTTCACCCGGTCTTCCTTGTCCCACTGAATCAACTGCTTTGACCAGCTATCAGGAAGATTAGTTCATGTACACAGCTCCCATCCAAACGCAAAAAATCCGATCGCGGAGGAAAATGGGGGGCTTCGACGTACAGTCGGCTAGGGTGCCACTCTCCAGGCTCCGGCTTGCGAGCCCATACTTCTCTCTCGGCGCTGAACTTCCACGTTACGGCGACAATGCCGACCATGATACCGGCTGCGACGAGGGTGTTTGCTCTCCAGTTGCCGGGTTGGGCGTACCAACCACCTGCTGGTGACCAGACATGCTTAGGGTACCTAATTGCCGAAAGACCTGCCTATTAGAAACCTCGCTGTAGAATTTATCGCGTGCAGGCAGTCGTGAGGGCGCCATCGGGGGATCGCAATCGAGGGGCTCGGATCGATCGCGGTCAAAGACTTACGGGACTTTTCCACCACCGCCCTATGCGCATCACATTAGTTTCTTCCATTTCAGACTATGAGCAAAGACGTAGAACAAGCTTACCATTTTGATTGACTTGCCAACGGACGTGTGAGGATGGAATTGAGCTGCGCAATTGCGTCTTATGAATGGACGGGCCTTCGTTCCTTCTTGAGTCTCGGAATCACTGAGTAGCATCCATCACCTCCCAGCGGCGCTGCTCGGGCAACGGTCCGAAAGTTGTTCCGTAGAATTTCATCCCAAAGGTCAACTGGTGCACTATGCTGCCCAGAGGCCACTAAGAACCTTGGAAGCTAGCCACCCGACCCTCTTACAGGAGCCGCTCACACGACTCCGTGCTTTGCCTGGGGCTGCCACAGCCCAAACCGCAGAACTTTTTCTGTAACGGTTCTAATCTGGACCTGGTTCGATATATTTGCGCCTTTGTCGACAAACGCATCCCACTTACCGGCGGCATCTATTATTTCGGCTGCACGACTTTGGATTGGAGGAAGGGGCAGAATTCTTTTTTCTTTGAATCACTTTGTTTTGTAATTTGCAATCTCCTTCTCTTTTATGTCCTCCCCTTCCGCGTCCCCAAATGAAGAGGTTACGAGTATCACAATGGAGCAGCAAGCAGCTGCTGCGAGCTCGCCCAGGAGCTTCCTCGTCTGTCCCGATAGCCATCGCCGGTAGGCAGCCATTCCTCCAATCCCTGCGATGCCAATCTTCTGCTGCCATTGCGCCCGAACACCTCGCAAACGACGCAGCCGCCGCCCAACACATCACCCGCGCCGCCCCTTCACCTCCTCACCAACGAAGTCTCGAGTCGGCCAAGCTTGCTGCCCTGCATGCTCGACTGGCACTCTCTCCCAAGATTCCGCTACAGACGCTTGCGCGGGCGCTTATTACACCCTCGGCCGATGCCAATGGCAGCTTTAACAACTCGAATTTGGCGTTCCTGGGGAGCACCATTATAAATTACCATGTGCTCGAGTATCTCGTATGCAAGTGGCCTCGCCTTCCGATGGCTATCTTGTACGAAGCATTGAGGGCATTCTCTGGGCAAGAATCGCTGCAGCAGGTCTCAAGGAGATGGGGTGTTGAGGCCGCCGCCGCCCCAGGGGAGGAGGTCGATGCGGGATTGTTGCAGTGGAAGGCTGATGGGGTGCAGCTGGTCAACACGCGATGGGGATATGTCCGCTCCGAGGTGGGAAAAGATAGCTCGTACAGACGTGGCATGAGCAGTCGTGTCGTTTTGGATGACGTATTTGGGGATGCGCTGAGCAAGCCGGACAATGCTGGCCGGCAGGGCGTGGACAGTCTGCAGAATGAGGCATTTGCATCTTTTGTCCAGGCTGTTGTGGGATCTATCTATGCCCATTGTGGGCGGGAAGCTGCCAAGTCCTTTGTCACATCTCATATTCTGTCGAGACAGTTTGATCCTTCTGCGCTGTTCCAGTTCCAACTCCCCACGCGCGAGTTGGCCATGCTCTGTGCGCGGGAAGGTTTCGAGGCTCCCGTTGCTCGACTGGAGAGCGAAACTGGTCGGCTGTCGAAGACACCGGTTTTTGTGGTCGGCATCTATAGCGGCAAAGAGAAGCTGGGAGAAGGCGCTGGTCCCAGCTTGGATATTGCTAGACGCAAGGCTTCCATGAACGTGCTTAAGGCATGGTACCTGTATTGCCCGGGGAACAAGGTCCGCGTTCCGAGCGACATGATGGAGGAGGGTGCCAGGCCCTGGAAAGCGCCGCATATTGATGTTGGTGAAATCATCTAAGTCTCGCGTTGGGGGCGGAAGCCCGGTGTTTGGGAGAAGGGGAGGGCACTTGTAAAGAATAAGGATGTGCTGGGGGAAAAAAACATGCCACTGTACATTAACGATATATTGTAGAACAATTGGCCAAAACTCGTTCCTTGGGGGCGTGTTTCAAATAATATATAACCGAGGCATTGTTGCCTGCGACAAAAGAGTTCTATTTCAACAACCTGTAAACTCCATCGCATGCATCCACTCAACCAACCAATATTTACAGAGTATAAGCTACCTACATACTCAAGATTTCTAGTCCGTTAACACGTTTCTTCTCGACGTGTTCGCGAAGCAGCTTCTTCCGCTCATAGACTGCCCGAACAGTAGACCGGATTTGATTCCTTCCCTCATTATAATTTGCTCTCGCGAGATCCACCACGCTATCGATTTGATCAGGTGTATATACAAAGTTCCAAGTGCTCAAAAAGTCTGTTGTTCCCGGGGAGATATTCGGTCCTTTCTTGTTAGCGAGAAAGGGGAGATATACTACAGCCAGACCGGCATTCGGTTCTGTTAGCTGCCACTTATTGGTATCGTTAATTGCTTTAGCTGGCGGTGAAGGATGCGGAGACCGTTCTTGCGTGGTACCGACCCAGATAGTGCAGTAGCCCAAGTCACCGGCTTCTTCGTTTCCAGGGCTGTATTTAGCTTCCTTGTCGTCAGCTTGAGGATCTTTTGCGATGGAACCGGCAGTCTGGCGGAGTGACTCTTGATCCTGCTTAGCTTGTTGGACGCGCCGAGCTGCCTCCTGAGATGAGGATGCCTCTGCATCGACGAGTTGCATGGTGGTTTCTTCGACTGATTCGCCAGCTTTTGGCCATCCGATGCCCACTGGCCAGCCTCTAATGCCACGTTGACGAGCATAACCATCCGCTACGGAGAGCCAATTATCGGTTTTAATGTCCGCAGAGGCGTCGAATGCGATGAGAATGTCGACGTCTCGGCCGGGGCGGAGGAGTGGATAGATGGGCAGGTTGTTAGACATGCCAGCGTCCATGAGTTGGATGTGCTCTTGCTCATATATACTCTTCGGTGCGGTGTCCGGCAGCTTGCCATGCATTTGGTAGGCAAAGTTGGGGATGCTGGCTGGATCAATGGGATGAACTTTGCTCAGATCGTCGTCACGGCCAGATACAAACTGGTCAACCCCGCTTAATCCAGATATGCTTAGGACCAGAGGCTTAATTTCCTTGTAGTAGTGACTAAGAGTTGCGCAAAAAGCACTTCCAAAAATACCCATCAATAGAGGCACTCGAATTTCAGGCAAGTGGAATCTAGTTTCCGGCGGCACGTCTTTGCCGTTGTTGAACTTGCGTCCTATGGCCCAGGTGGGAATGCCAGCCCCAAACTCTTCACAAAAGAATTCGTAGGGCGTGATTTCATACCATTGGAACCATGATTCTTCCTTGGCTATTTTCTTTTCCCTTTCCGTCGGCCCACGATTCGTCTCTTCTGTTTGAGGAATCTCGTGTCGAACAACCGTGTAGATGGGCAGCGGGCGATCCCCAAATTTGATGGCGTCACGCTGGTTCGATAACTTGAAGTCCTTTTCGTTGACACCCAGCTCGCCCTTGGGTACCAGAAATCTTGCTCCCAGTAGTAAACCGTAAACATCGACCAGGCCAAAGTCAGCCTTGGAGTCGCCCCTAAGCTTCTCCACGAGACCACTCAAGAGATATTTGCTGGTTGGCATGGAAACTAGAGACTGGAAGGCGACTGGTGGGTAGGCAATATGAACAGACGTTCTGTTTTTCAAATGCTCCAAGAGCCTTTTGAGATTGCCACCTGTTATCGAAGAGTTGAGCAAGGTTTGTAGCCAGCATGAACCACTGACACCGGCCGTGTAAGTGACACAGTCAAAAAGACCGTCCTCATCAGCAGCAATGAGTGAGCCGGTGCCAGCCACAAGAGCACGCAGTCCACCCCCTGATCCACACATGGCAATAGTGGGTATATCATCAGGGTGGATTTCATGTTCATCAAGTCCGAGGTACTTGGCCAGAGCAACTTTTATAACACGTTTTCGCCTTGCTAGAAACTCTTTCTCATCGTCACATAATTGTGAGGATACCCGAACTTGAGCCGTGTATGTGATTTCGGGATTGATGGCGGGATCGTGGGCGTCCTCCCAGATCTCATCAGCAAGAGAACCTGGGGCCATGGAGAGCTCCCTCTGAAGTTTCCGCAAGTATCCTGGGACAAGTTTTGACCAATCTGGGAGAATCATTCCCGCAACTCTTTCGGAGAAGGCAGACCATTCTGTCTCCGTGACGATGGCGATGTTTTCGATGCGCTTCGCGAAGCTGTCCCAGGCCGTCTCAGGCTGGTCATCATACTCATCTTCGTCCTCGTCTTCCTGTTCATCCACCTCTTCATCATCGTAATAGTGTCGTCTCCTCCTTGGATGTGGAGGAGACAGCTTCGCAAATTCATCTGTCGGATAGAGCCACCAGATAAATAAAGTTCCAGCTACAATAGTGGCCGGTATGCTTGCACCAATAGCGGTGGTCCTTTTCGATAAAGTAGAGAAACCGTGCTGAAATTTCTTGTGCAACGATGGACTAGTGCGTCGGGGACCAGCTCTCAGTGACGGGTTGAGAGCCGGCAAACCCTTGGCGAGGCTGCCGAGCCGTTTCATGGCGAAGAGTCAATCAGTTTGGCACACCTGCAATGACTTATCAATTGATGTACTACGGGTGGAGGTTGGAGGCTAGAAGTGTCACTACCGCTGCATGTTGGCCACGACCGGTCGATAAAAGGGTCAATTGAATTGAACAAAGAAAAGAAGGGCAGGCGGCAAGACAACGGATGAGATTTGATGATGGCAGAGCATGCCTTTTCACATGGGAACGAAACCTTATTCTGGTGTTCGCGCTAAGCTTATGTCATAGGAATGGAAAACGTTGAGGTGCTAGCTCCCTCAATGACCCCCCCCCCCCTCTTTGCCCTTCTGCCCATTCTCTCTCCTTGGGTCAACAGGTCTTTTGGAGCTTGTTTGACTAGCGCCGATTGCTGGGTGGCTGGTCGGCCATGGCCATCACTTGTATTGTTGCCAGAGGATGTAGGGTTGGCGATGCAAATACAGAAATACAGCGAAAATAAAGGATATGCAATCATAGAGTAAATTGGCTTTGATGCGGAGTAGGTCAGTGTAAATTGAAGGACCGCTCTGTCTCTCTGGTGGTACAAGCTGTGCAACTTGTGTGTCCTCCGTTATGCACCTGGTCTGCACTGTGCAGGCGGTGAGTCAAGTTTCGCAGGACCTGGATTTCCCAAGCTTTTTGCGCAACGGCAGAATTTCATGCCATTTTTTTTTTCGTGGATGCAATTCAGTTGAGCTACCTCCAGAAACACCATCATCCCCCCTGACCACATCGCTCTTATCTGCGGTTTTCTTCTTCCCCGAGGCTTTTTTTTTTGGCAACAAGGTAAGATGAATTGGCTCATATGCTGCCAACGCCGGAACTGCGCTTCCGCAGTTATGACTGTTTCGCTCTTCGCGTTGCCCTAGACCCCACCACTGACTATGAATGCGACTGACGCTCATGCCTTTTCTTTATATTACAGGACCCCTAAAGTTGGAGTACACTGTCGTATTCTTTGTCGGAGCCACCATAGTCGGAAGATATCTTCTTGTGCCGACAAAATGAGCGAGGTCGACGCTGGTACCAAGCCCGTGGAGGCCCCTCCAGTCGAGGCTCCTTCGGTCGAGGCTCCTCCTGTCGAGGCTCCTCCAGTCGAGCAGCAGCAGGAGACTTCCGCTGATGCTGCTGCTTCTGCTGCTGAGGATGACTCTATGATAAAGACGACTGCGCAGACGGACCACAAGGACGTCAAGAAGAACAACAAGTTTGACCCTAGTGTTCGAGAGGTGACAGATGACCCCGAAGCTATTCGCAAGCAGGTGAGAACATTGTCGGCAATCCTTTTTGGTCTTGGTCTTTCCCAGCCAATGTTGTTTGCATCTGGAAAAATCCCAGCCTAACTCGGACCTAGGTTGAGTTCTACTTTGGAGACTGGAACTTCCCCCAGGACAAATTCATGTGGGAAACTTGCGGCGGTTCCGAAAACAAACCCATGCCCATCACCAAGATTCACTCCTTCAAACGCATGCGCACATTCCAGCCCTACAGCGCCGTCGTAGCCGCCCTCCGCGACAGCAAATTCCTTGAAGTCTCAGGCGAGGAGGGGGCCGAAGTGGTCAAACGTAAGACGCCCTACAAGCCTATGCCCGAAGGCAAGGCCAAGGCCGAGGCCGCGACCGTCTACGTCAAGGGCTTCGGCGACGAAAGCCCAGATACGCAGTTCGATTTGGAGAGTTTCTTTGCCCAATTTGGCGAAGTCAAGGGTCTGAAGCTACGCAGGACCAACGAGAATCTGTTTAAGGGCTCCGTTTTCGTGACGTTTATGGATGAAGACGCTGCCAAGAAGTTCCTCGCCACCGAGCCGAAACCTACCTGGAAGGGACACGAGTTAAAGATGATGACCAAGAAGGCGTACTGCGACGAGAAGAGCGATCTGATCCGCCAGGGTAAGATCGAACCGAGCTCCAGCGGGCCTAGGAAGTTTTATGAAGGCAAGGATAACAAAGCGCGGCCAGCCAAAAAGGGCGGCCGCGATCAGGATGATTGGAAGAAGAGGCGTGATCACGATCAGAAGAGTGGCTTCCGAGACGGACGGGGTGGGCGCGGCCGGGGAGGTCGCGGTGGCCGTGGCCGCGGTGGGTTTGGCCGAGGCGGTAGAGACGGCGGCCGTCGGGATAAAGATCAGGTCAAGGACGCCATGTACTCTGAGTAAGATTCCCATCCCATCCCATTTATTGCATTGTTTCCGAGAACAGCATATGCTAATGTGCTACAGGAGTGCTCCCGAGAAAAAGGAAGAAAAGGAATCCAACGGAAAGCGAGCTCGGGAGGAGGATGCTGCTGGCGGCGAGGAACCTGCAGCCAAAAAGGTCGATACCAAGGAGACTACAGAGGCATAAGCAGGGATCAACTGGATGGGGACTGGATGTGTTCATGTTGTGTATCTCAATGTTTGGGCGTTGTGGGCTTAATATTATACTGATGGGTCTGGTTTGGAATGTATCGCAAATCAAGGTCACTTGTGACACGGGGCTGTTATTCGAGATGAGTAACTCAGCATACACTTTGTCCCTTCGGGCCAAGTATTGACAATCCTGTGGTGGCTAGGAGTACGTGCTTCAAGAGCTTGACAAAACCAGACCCCAGTGGGATGACCCCCTTGGCATCGCCCATCAGTTGGTAATACTAGAACTGTTTGGTTTCGGCCGATATTTCGCCGTATTGCCCATGGACAAGGGATGTTTCCCCATGGCAGCATCCAACGGTAATGCGACACGCGGAGCTCTTCAACTAAACCAAAAATCATACACCGCTCTGTGCATAACATTCCCCCGAAAGCCGTTGCCAGTCCGTATTCGCCCCGTGCAGACATGGAACATCCCCCCACGGACTTTCCGTCGCAAACACTGGGCCAATGTGCCTAGACTTGGCCAGGTCGAGCCAAGTTCGGCTCCATACGCCCCGCCAAACTCGGCCGGATGCAAAAGTGGATATGCAAACTTGGACTTTTCTTCCTCTTCTCGGCGATCTTTGTCCATGGACTGGGGTAGAAGCACTGTTTTTTCTCCTGCGGGATGCCTTTGCTTCGGTCGGAGAGGTATGGTCCGCCACAGGGACGCTTGGAAGCGGCGCCGGTTCGGCACCCATGCGGAAGTTGGGCGCGATCCAAGGGTAGACGTCCCGAGGAAGGAAAATAGTCACGTTGCAGGAATTTGTTACGCCGGCCCCTTGCTACGACGCGAGATGGTGCTGTTTGTTGGGCAGTTTCTCCTCGAGGGGTGGGTGAACTTGACTCTTTTCCGCCCTGTTCTCGAGTCCAGATGGATTCGACTTTTTTGATCTTTGTTGTCCCGAAGAGCCTCTCCTACATGCTGGGATACACAGACAGCTGAGTGTCATCGTGCAGTGCAGTGGCAATCCGGGGCCTATTTGACCAAGAGAAGCGCCGTGCCCCTCTATACTATAATATACAATAGTATATTGATGTATACTTAGTGGCGGGACGGAGAAAATTACATCTTTGCTGCAGAACGTAGCTGGCCATGTTGGAGCGTCGTGAGTGTCGTCAAATAGAAACCCACGGATCCATGACGGGGAACAGCTCTCCGGACACTCCAGACATGTTTGACGATGAAAAGCACGAACGGCCTGCTGTCTTGACGGAGTCGGAAGATGGTTCGTCGGACCACGAAACTGAGCGCGAGAGACGTTCATTATCAAGGGTTGGGTCGGCGAGATCGGGGCGTTCGCTCACGACAGTGGTTTCAGAAGTGAGGGACGGGATCCAGAACCAGCGGGATTTGGAGCGTGGAAACAGTGAGGACGTTAACAATGCCCGTGCTGGGGAGAATGACGAGCCCAAAGACCCGAACCTGGTGGCGTGGGATGGGCCAAATGACGCGCAAAATCCAAAGATGTGGCCGCATAGGAGGAAGTGGGCGGCTGTCATATGCGGTGAGTTGAAAAAAGTCCACGATTCAACATCATCCATGTCTCTCGTGCTGAACTCCAAACAGTGTCCTTCTTCACGCTCATATCGCCCGTTGCCTCGTCAATGGTAGCCCCCGACCTCGAAGCCATTGGCAAGGAACTCAACATTGAGAGCCAGCTGGAGCGGGCGCTGGTCCTGTCCATCTTCGTTGCGGCATACGCACTCGGTCCCCTGGGCTGGGGTCCTCTCTCGGAGCTGTACGGGCGAGTCATCGTCATACAGAGCTCCAACATTGTCTTTCTCCTGTTCAACCTGGGCTGCGGCCTTGCCAAGACAGAAGGGCAGATGATTGCCTTTCGATTCCTCGGCGGCATAGGCGGCTCAGCACCGCTGGCGATCGGCGGCGGCGTCCTGAGCGACTTGTTCACGGCCGAGGAGAGAGGCCGAGCCATCAGCATCTATTCCCTCATGCCGCTTCTCGGGCCGGCCGTTGGTCCTGTGGCGGGCGGATGGATTGCAGAGCGCACGACGTGGCGCTGGGTGTTTTACAGCACGACGATTGCCTGCGGCATCATCCAGGTCTTCGGCCTGTTCTTCCTCCAGGAGACGTATGCGCCCGTGCTTCTGCACCGCAAGAAGTTGCGTCTCGTCAAGGAGACTGGCAACACGAAGCTGCACACCGAGTTTGACCGTCCAGACCGGACCTTGCTCCAAACCCTGACGAATGCCTTCACTCGACCCTTCAAGCTGCTGGCCACCCAGCCCATTGTCCAAGTCCTCTCGCTGTACCTCATGTTCCTGTACGGCATGATATACCTGATCTTCTCGACCTTCCCGACCCTGTTCGCGACCAAGTACGGCGAGACCCCAGGCATCATCGGCCTCAACTACATCTCCATCGGCGTCGGCTTCTTCCTGGGGACCCAGGTCTGCGCCCCGTTGCAGGACCGCGTCTACGCAGCCCTCAAGCGTCGCTATGTGCCCGACGGAGGACCAGGGCGGCCAGAGTTCCGCGTCCCCATGATGATTCCGGGCGCGCTGCTCGTCCCCATCGGCATCTTCATCTACGCGTGGACGGCCGAGGTGCCCACGCACTGGATCGGGCCCAACGTCGGCGCGGCCGTGTTTGGCTTCGGCTCCATTATCGGATTCCAGTGCGTGCAGGGATACATTGTCGATTCGTACACGCGGTACGCCGCCAGTGCCGTGGGCGCCATCACCGTGCTTCGCAGCCTGGCTGGCTTCGGGTTCCCGCTGTTTGCCCCGACAATGTATAGGAATCTAGGGTATGGGATGGGCGGCACCGTGCTAGCCATCATCTCCATTGTTATTGGGTGGCCGGCGCCGTTTTTGCTCTGGAAGTATGGTGCTGCGTTGAGAGCGAGGAGCAAGTTTAGTGCTGGGCCGTGATGGTGGATTGTGGGAAGGCTGCTGAGGCGAGCAGGGGAACGAGGTGGAAAACGAAGGGGGCGCTTTAGACAACGGCTCCTTGGAAATGGGGAAAGGGTTCAACTTTGCATCATTATTTCAGAGAATGGAATAGGATAGAATGTTTTTATGCATCCTACCCATGCCACGCCACACAATTCATCAAGCAATTCGTGGGCATATATAGACGAAGTTTCAATATACCTCAAGTTTAAAATAAAATCTCTGATTCGATATTGCTCCTCGGTGTAGGCAAGGACCCAGTAAAACTCATGATTCATATCTGTTCATCCAAGAGTCTATGCTGTATTTTTGTGTCTGATTCTATGAATTGTAAGAGTAAATAGTTTTCCAACATTACGGTCATACAATTAAACAGAGTATCCCATCTTTCTGTCGCCAATCACCTTCCAAAACTCCTCCACCAGGTCCTTCTGGCCCGTCGGCGCGCCTCTCACGGCCAAATACACCCTCGACTCCAGCTCGGGATCCCAGTTGCCTGGATTTCCGCTAACCATCCTCCCCCCAGCTTCAGCGAGAAGGCACCAGCCGGCGCAGACATCCCAGGCCCAGCATCCACCTTCCCAGTAGGCGTCCATCTGGCCAGCAGCCACGGCAGCAATGTTGAGAGCGGCCGATCCCAGAGATCGAAGCGAATGCACCATGGAGCCGCCCGATTCCCTACTAGCGGCCAGTTTCTTGAAGACGTCCGTCTTGAGCTCAAAGTTGGATCCCTCTCGGTCAGAGCCCCATTCGACTGCGATCAGGGATGTCCCCAGGCCTTGGAGAGGGCGGGGAGATTTGGCCAGGGGCAGCTTTTGAGGAGTCGTGCCTTTGCTCCGGGTCATGTAGGCGCCTTTGCCTTTGATGGCCGTGAATAGGAGGTCCTGCCACGGGTTGTAGATGACACCTACTACAGGAGAGCGTTGGACGGCTAGGCCGAGGGAGATGCATGCGTTTGGGAAGGAGTGGACAAAATTGGTGGTGCCTGTGAGCATCGAGTATTAAGCATTCGTAGTAGGCTTGAAAGGAGGAGCGCAGTGACTACGGCGGATCGAACTCACCGTCGATAGGGTCAACGACAAATGTAGGCTCCGGTCCAAGTCTCATGCCAGGCTTGTACGTCTCCTCGCCCATGAAGGATACGGATGGGAATGACGCAGCCAGTCTGCCAGACACCATCTTCTCGACAGCCTGATCGGCCTCGGTGACAATGTCGACGGCTGACCAAAGAAGTCTACAGTTAGCTATTTGAGTTCCAAATACTACAACAGTGCTCGGCGATGTGGTTCTTGAAACCTGAGAGCCTAGACCTCCTTTCTCCCAGACATACAGTTCAGCTTGGTACCGGTGTCGAGGTCAGCCGGGTTGGCACTGAGAATCATGCGGCCGGCTTCGTAGGCAATTGCCACCATCTCATCGTGGACAGCTTGAAGGTCGAGATCTGCCATGGTTGCTGCGACCCCAGTTGGGCTGTTGGAAATCCCTACGCCTGAGGGCTGATGCTCTTGCAAAGCAAAGGACAAGGTGACGAGTGTGGTGTTTCTCTTCGGACGCTCCTCGACGTGGGGTGGAGGGGCACTGGCTCCATGTCGGCATGACGAAGTGACGTTGGGTTATTTTGGGGATAGTTATTAGAGTGGGGGACTGGACCCTTGGCAGGTACCTCCTGGAGACCTGATGCTTGTGTTGGACATGGCCAGGTACCTGGGTACTTAAGTATGTATTGGACAGGATTCATGCACCAAGACATGCTCGGAATTCAGGTTGGAACGCCAGTCAAGCAAACCTTGTAGTAAAGACAATCCTTGACTGTGTATATCAAGAGAGAGAGCGCGCCATCGTCGCAACTATAGCCAAACAAACTCCGACCATGTTAAGCGCCCTGAGCTATACCGTACAGCTTGCAGCAAAACAACAAAGAGAGAGAAAAAAAAGAACAGCGAGCCGATGCCCTGATACCTCGGCCTTGTTCATCTTGCAGCTTTAAAACATATCAACTGTGAACTCTTCCGGTAAATGCGCATGTTTTCCCCTACACGGTACATAACCACCATGATCCCATCTCCCGTCTCCTGTTCTTTGTCCTGAACCATCCCAATCTCGGCCGCCATCATCACATCCCCCCCGCTCAACACAAGTGGCTTTTCCATTTTATACATTCTCCCTAAAGGCCGACCTTCTCTCAGTAGGGCTGCTTCCATCGCTCTCCGGTTGACTTGGTCTTGATCTATGAGTATGCGCCGCAGCCGTATCGATAGGTCGGGGACTGACACCACGCAAACTTGAGACGGCATCATCATCGAATGGATTCTTGTTCTGGGAGACGTCAGGACGGCCCGGTTTGCGACCGCGCTCCTCGTCGTCGTAGTCTGCACGAGGGTTCGTGGCCAAATTCATGCTGTAGCTGCTGCCGCCAGGATACTCGGTGTTGCTATGCCGACCGAGCTCCTGTTCTTCGTAGTATCCGTAGCCGTCGGCTTCATTGCCTACACGCGCATCCCAGGCCTCGTCGGGATCGAGAGGGCCAAAGCCTCGACGCCCGCCACTGCCGCCCTGAAGAGGCCGCTCGTATGCACCGGCCGCGGAACGATTGTTTCTGTTCTTGACCTTGCGGACCTGATCGTTGAACCAGCCAACGACGCCGCCGGGAGCTGGCTGCGGGGGGCCGTAGGGGGTTTCGTTTCGTTTCCACGGCAAATACGACGATAGCGTAGGCGGCGGTAACTGTGCACGGAAGCAAACAGAGAGTCGACAGTTAGCGTTGACAGACAGAAGACGCGGGTGTCAGTACATACGCCTAGCCTGCGCGCGCGCATTCGAGCAAAGACGACCCAGCCGCCGACGGCCGCCGTGAGCAGCACGATGATGGTAATGACGATGGCCCCAGCCGTGGACACCATTGTGGGTGGGATGGAGAGACACGGTCTCAGTGGTGTTGTTTGCAGTGGTACTACTACCAGACTAGTCACTACCAGGTAGGAGCCCAAATCGAAGCAAATGGAGGTGCCAGAGCAACGCGCGACAGAGGTTGCCGTGCACCGGACCGCGCAGAGACGTCAAAGGTGGTCGCGAGCCCAGATGTTGTGGGATGACGGATGACGAATGACGAATGCACGGCGCAGGCATCCAGATTCCGGTAATCGAGCTTGGGGCTAGATTGGGCACAATGTACTTTAAGTTAGCAGCTGCTGGTTTTCGGTTGTCAGCACGTCCAGTTGACGGCCACGGAGCCGACAAGGAACTGTCCACTTGAGCCGCCTGGCTGGTATTGACATGCACGTACGAGTAGTCAAATAGGTCTGGTATTGGTCGACTGCCCAGGTGCAGGTGCATGTGGTGACGAGGTCCGTATGTGTCGTCAATTGATGGCTTCGCAGCCAGGGCTTAGCGTGTCTCCAGTGACACACAGACGCTGTTCACACACCGAGACTTGGCGCCCGTCACCACCCCGTAGCAACTAGTACATGTACATTAAGTATTGACCAGACCAGACTTCTTCTGCATGTGGGTCTCATAGTTTCAAGATTCGTATCATGATACAGCCGTCGAGCAGTGTCAAGCTCATTCATGGATGTTTACGGATTTACGGAGAGTATACGTACATACCTAGCAGGGACCTTAACCTATACCCAACATATGTTTGTTTATTTGTTTACTTCTCACTTGCACACTGTGAGGCGCAGGTAGAGCCAACCATAAAGTCACCAATTACATGCATGTACCAAATAGCTAAAGTCTAGACGTACTACAGGGGAAAATAAAACAAGCTCAAGTCGCTAAATCAATGCATCTCATGGTATAACCTGTCCGCCGATATGCTCTTCCTCGGTTCAGCACTGGTCCCAGAGACCACCTTTTTTGGCAAAGTCCAACCCCTTGAGGAAGTCGCCAACTTCACAGCGCCCGAGCTTGTCTGCCTTGCAGCCCTTGAGAGGGATTACTCTATCATTGACGAGAACTCGGACCATCTCGTAGTCGTCTCCGCCGCAGTGCATCTTTTCGACATACATGCGTGCTCCGAACGGCACGGCTTGTGAAGCAGAGTATCCGTCGGCTGTCTTGGGGGACACCCTGCGATCGGTGGGAATTTCAGTAGCGTTGGTATATATCCCGAGTGCGGCGTAGACTGTCATCATTGTGTTGTCGTGACTGAAGTCGGCATACAGTAGCCGGTTGAGAGGGAAGGTCGACGGGTTAGAGTCGAGTGTTTCATTTGTTGATGTGTGGTCTTGGACCGGAGAGTGGGAAAGTCGAGCAATCAGTTCATTAACATATCCTACTCCCTGGGTCGGTCCCAGCGGATTTGCTGGTCCGTAGCCATACCACTTCTCCAACGATTCGTAATACTCATATCCACGCCACTCCTCCTTGGAAAACAAGCGACAAAAGTCGGAAACTGTCGATTTTTCCGAGGCAACAGTGTTGAAGGGGCAAAGATCCATAAAGTAAACCGTTTCCTCGAGCGTAATCCTGGCGCCAGGAAGCTTCGCGTTAAGACGCTCCATTATGGGAGTGGCCCAGATATTCTTCCAGGGGGCTTGTTTGTCGTGTGCAAGCTCCGCGTTAGGTCCAGTTTCAAACGCACCACAGGTTCCATGATCCAAGGTGTTGTTTGACCCGTTATCCTCTGGAATGACGAGAATATCCTCCAGGTATTTACTGCCATTCTTGCCCTTGGCTTTGTAGAAGCCATGAACAAAATCTTGCGCTGACATGACGACTCTTTCAGAGCCCGAGGCTCGAACAAAGGGATGGGTCGAATCCTCCGCTAACTTCTGATAGCGCTTGAAGAACTTTTTTCCAGACTTGACCATTTCCTGCTCGCCAAAGGGGGTGAGGTCGTCAGAACCTAGAGTATACTTGTAATCCTTGAGAAACTCGAAGCCTTTCCCATAGTCCTTGACATCTTTTTGGATCCGCTCAACCAGGTCCTTGTAGGCCTTGGACTTGCCGGCCGTCGGGTTGCGGGACCCATGTCGAGACAAGATTGAAGCAAAGGTGACCTCGCATCCCGACGGGATGTCAGGCTTGATAGATCCCTTGTGTGCTGAGAAGTACGGCGAGTACTGGCCCCAGTGCTTGCGAAAATCGTGGGTGCAGGAGCCGTTGTTAACGCACGACTCGGAGTCTGATCGATCTCGCCTATAAGGAGTCCCTTGTTGAGCAACATTGCGGAGTGGGATGCTGCGTGGCGATGTGACACTTACGCGAAGGCAAAGCCCAGAAAAACAAAGACGGCGAGCAACATGACGCTCATTGATAATTTAAAAAACCTTGAGCGAGGAGGCCGCTCATCAAAGATTTGCTGTGCATGATTTCGTCCCGTCACGGGCGCCGGAATGGCCCTATATTTGTGGTTTGGCCCGGCGAGCGTCTTCAGCGAGGCCACGGTATTTGATATTACACCCATTGTGTCTCGGTCACCAGGTTGGTCTAGTGCGGGGATCAATATCTGCACGAAGGGTAGTATTGAGTATTGCGCAGCGTTCAATGTACCGAGTACGTCGTGTCGATACGCCGATCCGAGTATGTTGGGATAAATGCCGCCTTGGCCGCCATCAAAAGCGATTGTTCAACACGGCAGGCCGCAGATTGGAGCCCAGATAAGCAGTGTGAAGCTGGTGGCCGAGAGGGAAAAGAGAACCAGTGGCTGAGCCCGACGTATAAATACCAGCATCCGAGACCAGACCACATGCAACATTGAAGTCTGACGATTCAGGAGCCTCGTTTACCGCGTCATCGCTGCGAGGCTGTTCCAGCCGTACATAGGGGGTTCAGGTGCTCGCTGGGCAGGAGGAACCAACGGCACCAACCAGCCTGCATGTGGTGCTTGCATCAATTTGGTCTCCTGGTGGTACCGTTGCCGCCACCAACCATGGGCAGCATCGGCCCCTGGTCTCTCAAATGTCGACGGTTGCCCTCGCGCTCGACCTGCACCCCGTACTTGAGTAAGTAGCTTGCAAACTCACGGTCCCCTCTCCCCAAGCTTCAAAGGTTTCAAAATTCATCTTCAGATACTCCGCCCATTGTTGCGGTGCTTCAGTACATGTATTGACCACCTCGACTGGAATTTGTGAAATCCATTCATCTACCTAGACACCCAGGCACCCGACTGTCCACCCTTCATCACGAAGCGCGCCCCCATTGTGCCCAATGAGTCAGTCATTCTTTATTCTCCAAGGGGCCGGTCTTCCAACGCGAAACAATCGTCAATGTAGCTCGCACGCTTTGTTTCAATTCGACTCTCTCAACATATAATGCTCCTTGCAATGCCTATGCAATCAAAGGGTCTTGCATTCAGTCATAATTTGTTTCATGCATTCATCGTTTCAAACCTCCCCTTTTGTTCATCCCGTGCCAATGCCAACGCCCGGCACCCCTTCGTCCTTTGCCTGCAGCTTCCACCGAGTCTCAGGCTCCTTATGCCTCATTCTCTAGAGCCGTTCAAACCCGTCGCAGCGCGTTTCATTATTTTTCTAAAACATCAGTTCGCGTCCTGCATCCCCATGTCGATCCATACTAACGCCAAGTGCATGCAAAATGGTTATTCATTGAATACAAGTCCCTCCTTTCTCCAGGGTATTCTCTACAAAGTGAAAACGTGAGGCTCTCCCTCACCTTGCAATGACGCCAACCGGCGGCTGTCCAATTCTGGCATCGTTTTTGCCAAAGGTTGCTCTCCGTTCTATTTCATGGTGTTCCTCGTGCTTTGACGCCGGCGTGCTTTCGCGCGAGGATATTGATGGAGTCGTGTGCTGTTCATCCCCGGTTTGCCATGTTGATATACTATCAATCGACTCGCAGCTTCGTTGCCCTACTGTGCCTTTGGAAGAAACAATTTGATAAAATCCTCCTTTATTCTTAACCGGCCCCGGCTTGTTCGTGACGGCATCAAGGCCTACGGTTTTGCCCTGATCCTGACCAGGGAACAGCCAGGCGGACACACGTGAAAAGGATTTCTTTTTCCGCAATGGCGGTCGAAGGACAAGTGGTAGTGGCGGCGGCAGAATTTGGCTCTCACACATGGCTTGGTTCTGCTTCATGGTAGCCCTAAAATTGTCCTCAGGCGTCGTCTTCCTGTGACTCAGCGTTGCGTTGACTGACGTCTTAATTGGTGCAGTTTGAGGTCGCTCTACATCAGCATTCAGGCGCTCAGCAAATGACGGAGCTGTGGGCGGCAGAGCAGGAATAGAGGGCATGGGTTCTAGGTCTACAGCTAGTTAATATAAAGGCTTCGACTTTGGACAGCCCAAGAAACCAGAGGCATGTCTACATGAAAAGGTGGAGGGCATACCATGTACGCGGGCTATCGAATGCGCGGTTGAAGGACGACTGTTGACGTAGATGCTTTGTCTTTCGATGACGTTGTCGATTTGTTTTTGCAGGATATCGACCTCAATCAAGGCACTTGCTACACGCTCCTTGATAGCTTCTACCTCAGGACCGGTATAAGCACGGACTCGATATCTAGACTTGGCAGGAATTTGCGGAGGAAGTTCTTCTTCAGTGACGGACCGAGAGGCGTCAACATGATGTCTTCGAGGAACGTGAAACGATATAGAGGTGTTACTACGTTGAAGAGACAACTGGTGACAGTCTTCGGAACGTTCTGCACAGTATGCTGGTGGAGGTGGAGGTGGAGGTGTTGTAATTCTGGGAAACTCAAAATGTGGCAGAAGAGGTGATATATGGCGATCCGTCGAGTATATGCTCAGTTCGAGTGGACGAAAGCAGCTCTCATGCTCCTCAAATTCATCCTCATGGCATTGATATTGTCGGGGACTTGGCTGACAATCGGATGGGGATACATCAGGGGGGAACTGAAATGAGCCCGATTGTAAATGTCGAAAATCAGAAGGTGCAGAAATGAGTGGCCTACGCGGCGACCCCTCTGACCAAAATCGATTCCTTCCAGTGAAGCTTGTCCTGCTTGATCCAAAGCTTTTCCTTGGAGGTCTTTGCTTCCACACAGCATCCGGATATCCCGCCTCAGTCACAGCTACTGGACGAGGTTGAAACGAAGGTTGACTGTGAACGATCATTGAAGGACGTTTCTCACTACCTAAGAAGATTAGCACCTGTCAGAATCCCAGTTACAGCATGATTTGGATTCGAAGTAGGTATGCATCGAGACTAACAAATGGGTAGACCAGAAGCGAGATGCTTACTTACTATAGTACGGCTCTCGCTCGAAGCAAGATGTAAAGGGAGACCAGCAAGTCATAATAATAGCTGAGAACCACGATACTGTGACCTCACTAGGAGTACAAGTCGATATTTTCATACTACAGGTCAAATAAATGGTGCTGTCTCGGCCCTTGCATATCGTGGATTGCGAAAAAGCGAAGAGAGTGAACAAAGAGATTAAGAAAAGCAGGAGGACAAGTGACAACCGACCAGCGAGTTGGATGTTCGAAGACGTGAACAGAAACAGAACAACTACAGTCGAGAAGACGACGACGACCTGCCAGGGAACGGCTAAGCCGTCTTTTTCAGACAGGCACCGCGACCTTCGATTAACGTAGGAGAGCCTCATTTGACCCAACGCCGGGGCCCCGAGGCATTGTGGCCCAAAATACAAACAAAAAAAACTCTCCTTGTTCCATCAACAACAGCTGGGTATGGCGGTTCATCCGTGACGGTGCATGATGCCGCGACTTGATAGGCCGTGCTTGAATGAAGGCCATCCAGTCAGCGCTTAGAACAACGGTCCGGGTGGTTGGCACCACCCTCTGAGATCCAAAGACCCACAAAGAGCGTCAGGCGGCCGGTTGAGCACAGCGAGTCGATGACTTGCATCTGCCTTTGATGGCTGCGCCGTTATCACAAGCCTGTGGGCGCATTGCCACGGGCTGCTCCCGCGAGGGTCTCGTGGTCTGCAGACATTGGCCAAGGGCCCCCGGTGTTCATGTCCACCACGAAGAGCTGTGTTTCGATTGGAATTACGTCCTGCCCACGCCACTCACCTAGGAACCTCCCCCTTGGCGACGTGATGGTGTCGCGGTGGACAAAAGCTATTAGAAATATGAGCCTGCTTTGTCGTTCCGCTGTAAACAAAGCCCCTGTCCTTTCCGGTTTTGATACACGTCGGAGATTTGGACTTTGAGTAGTCTTGCACTTGGCCCAGACGGCCCAGCCGATCTTTGTCGAGTGGCGCCGCGTCTGTAAGGGAGGTGTTCATGTCTGCCAATGTACGAGTTCGTTGGTTGCTAAGAATAATCCATTAAGTAACTGCCTAGGCATGTACTAGTAGTATGTGTACGGAATTTGTACACGGGATCCACGCACGGTCAAGCATTGCTGAAGACTAATATCCATCACCACCTCGTACTAGGTGGGTTCTGGTTGTAACGGAAGCAGAAAATGGCGTTGGAAGCATTAAACGGCACATGGCCAAAGTCGTCACGGTGAATTGGCAGGCTGGAGCTTTGCATCGCATCAGTGGCGTGTTTGAGTCAGGACTCATGCTGGTGAGGCCCATCAACAGGCTCATGCTGACCGTCCTTGATGGCCTATGGTGGTCTGCGCAGCCGGTGGTGAAGGGCAAAGCCACATGCTTGTCTCACATCTTCGGGCCTCCTCTGTCCATTGAAGCTGTTTTGCACAGCCCGTGGAGGGTAGGCCGAATATATATAGCAAGCGATTATTGTACATTAGTTGAGTAGTGGGTGTGGAGGCAGGTAACTAGGCAATTCCATGCCATGCGCAGGTTGTTGTCATTTCGAGCAGCACTGTGACTAGTCACAAGGTACATCGACGATAGTTTTTGGAGGAGTGAAAATGTGGACAAACTTGGCAGTGCCTGCCGCCCAGCATTTACTCAGGTAGTTCTTGCCGCCTCGGCGAGAGAAGCTACTGATTGATCAGCCGTTAACTGGTGGTATGTTCTCCAAGAAGCATTGAACAAATGGTGACTGGATAAGGAACCTCGGGACTGCATGTTTGCTTGGAAGGGTGACCATGGCCTTGTTATCTTTTTTATCTAGCCTAATCTGCTCATTGGCCACAATCAAACGAAGCAGTCTTTCTTGTACATATGGAGAATTGCAACTTTCAAACGTTACTGGGAAACGGCTTGGGCTGCAATGCAACAAACTAACCCATCTCGTCTGGCGGGGCGGCGGTGACGACTGGCAGAACTCTAAATTCTCAAGAATAGCGACGCTGATGTAGGCGCCTTACTTGGACCTCCAGCGTCGCATCCATTCGGACGGCGAGCCCGTCAATTGATTTCGTCGCAATGGTCAAGCGATCGACCCACGACACGGACGGTGCTGCGGCTTTCCGCAAGCGCCAGAAGCTCACTCAGGATATTCCAACTGGCGAGCAAGTCACGTCAAGCGAACAGCTCCGGCAGCTCTTGACCTTTGACCAGGACATGCGCAAGGCCCGTCACGGTGTGTACCTCTCCAACTTCTGGGGCGCGGGCTTTTCCCTGCTATTTTACTGATTCTCTCGACGTAAATAGGACTGCAATCATTCAAGAAATTTCTCGATGACATTCTTTCTAGCGATGACGACCGAAAACAGAACCTGGCCATCTTGCAAGACTATCTGGAGGGCGTCAAACCGCGAGACACCAGCGAGGAAGCCGTCCACCTCCACGATATCATGGAGATGTGGTCGTTCTCCATTCAGGTGAACAACGAGGGCGTTATGTCCTCCGTCGCTGTTGTTCTCGCCCTTGTCCTTCAGGTGCTCTCCGGATCTCTGCATCTTGTGCCATTTGGACTTGGCATCTGTCAGACTTTGGTCCAGGAAGCACAGCTCAAATGTTTATCCAGGAACCTTGGATCCGAAAAGGGCAAAGGGTTTATCATTTCCCCCACTCTACGGCTTCTGCGTGAAGCTGTCAGCTTTGATGGGGGAGCTTATGCAAAGAAAATCGTGCGCGCCAGAATCTATACCTTTACATCGCTGGGACGAAATCTGGAAATTGGTCATGTGGGAGATATGCAGGAAGATGTCCGAAAAGCTTCGGTTCGAACCAATGCCGTCCGCTTCTTTTTGAGCTGCCTCAAATACTTGCACTCAGAAGGTCGAAGAGAGTTGCTGTCACAACGAGATCAACTGTCACACTTGACATATATGATGAAGAATGACCCTCCATATCTTGTGATAGAGATATTGGAATCTTTGCAGGCGCATGTCTTGGCTGATAGCAGAATCGCGCGCGAGGTCAAGTTCAAAGCATTCAACACAAAGATTTTAATGCGTATCCTGTCGCTCTACTCATATTCTCACACAACTGCCAATGCCGACGAGAAAGACATTGTTTGCGAAAAGGCACACCATCTCTTAACAAACGCCTGTACGACCTATAGTGGCGGCATACTCTATCCATACAAAGGCCTATACCCGAAAGAAGCCGACGACGAATTTTCGGCGCTTTCCGCAAAAAATAAAAACAATGAGGCCAATGGCGACCCTTGGGAAGGAAAGCTTCGAGAAGGTATTCCTGTTTACAACTTTGTACTCTCCGAATTCATTGGTAAACTTCGACCTTGGTCCAACCTGAAGCACTGCGAGCTCCTGGTTGCTATCTTCCGGGCTGCACCAGAGCTCATTTCGGACTATTTCCACAAGAATCAGTCTTTCACTTTTGAGCCCAAATTATCCATGACATGGATTGGATACGCAGCATTCTTATTTAATACTATGATGATCCCACTTCCTGCATCATTTGGCGATCCTTCACGATATGCAGCTATGCCCCCTCCGACTCCAGTTCTCCTCGACAACATTGTTCCTAGGCCAATCAATCAGAAAGTACTCATCCGTTGCCTGTCCCCGAAATCCCACCTGACGTCTTTCTTTGCGACAAGAATTCTTGTTGCAGCACTGGAGAAGCTTTCAGCGGCACTCAAAATGCTTGATGGTCAATCAAGGCGAAGGAACGCAGTGTGGATGGAGGCAAGTCGGCGGCTGGTGGACATGTTTTGTCAGCGGATACCAGACATGAAGGAGATTGTTCGTTGCTACAAAGGCATTCCCGCTGAGAACATTCTTCACAGAACCCTGACAAGCCGCCTGCTGCGGTTGTACTATGAAGTCATCCCTCGAGTTGCCCTGGCCGCTAACTTTGATGTGTCTCCCTTTTTTGCGGGTGTTCTGGCAGGTCTCAACAGAGATAATATCGAAGCCGAGCCCAGAGCTCTAGGTTTAATGGAGCTAGAAAATTTGGTCTTGATTGCCAGTTACTCACCTGGAATGAGATGGTTTGCAAAACTTGAGGCTCTTGGTCATGGGTACGCTTCCTCACCATTCAATGCACTCTTGCAATTGTTGTGCGGTGATAAGGAGGGTGCACCACTTGGTCAACTTAAAGCTGTCCTGGGGGATGTTGCTGTGGAAAGCCAAGTCGTGACGAAGTCTGTGTCACTTAAACATTTATTACAAGCTTTGCGATGTGCGAGAGAAACCTTGGGGGCTGCTGGAATGGAAACCGTATGGTCTTTCCTGGATAATTGTGTCAGTCGTTGCGCCAATTCACCCATCAAATATTTGGACCTGGTGAAAGTCTACTCTTCGAAGCCAAGTACCTTGGAAACGGACGGCAACATGTCCTTACTTAACGTTGTGATCATGGACCAATTGCCGTATGCTCTGAACGCTGGGGACGAAAAAGCTGCTAACCAACTTGCGACTTTTGTGTCATTCTACTTCAGCGCTGTTCAAGCGTCAAGCAAGGATGTTGCGCCTCTAGAACGCTTGTACAAGGATATAGAGAATCTTTTCTCTACAGCATCAGCCAATCTTGCTGATCTCGGGGATACGAAGCAAGTCAAGACGCTGAAGAAACACGACGGAATCCAGTGGACGACCCGTAAACCAGTCTCTGGGGGTGAAGGCGAAATCGAAGGGTCCACTGTCAATCAGGCAGCGCTAGAGGAGATGCTTCATGTGCCTTTTTTGTCAGATGATGATGCTACAGTACTTACAAAATGGGTATCCAAAGGCGTGGAAGACATGGTTGAAGATGGATGGGCAGCAGGTCTGGTGCGCCTCTTGGCCTCTGAGCACATCAACTTGCGAAAAGAGGCGCTGACTGGGGTTCTCAAAATGGCAGCCCAAATCAAGGACTCATCATACGAAGAAAAGACGCAGATCTGGCTACTTCTGTCGGAACTAGCAGAGTCGTCGAGAGCACAAGTTGACATCGGCCCCGTTCCTTCAGCATTCATCGCATTCGCTATTCACGCCTTGGACGTTCTTAAGAATACTCTCCATCCCCTATATCCCAAAGTCAACTCCTATCTTACACGCAGCCCTATCTGGGGGTTGGATAAGCTTCCTTTGGTACATGATATCCTTCACGGAACACCATCGGAAGATGACAAATACTATACGGAGCTCACTTGGCTGTTCAAGTACCTATTAGACAGTCTCAGAACCCCGCTGGATCTCAGCGTTTTTCATAAGAAGCGCTGGTTCGAGAAGATATTTGCAGTAGGGAGCAATCCATATCTGCGTTCGGCGTTGCGGACCCGACTTCTCAAGCTTGTATACAGGGCGACATGTATTGAATCTGGGAGTACAACTCTGATCACGAGATTCGGTATCCTCAGCTGGTTGGACTCTCAGCGAGCCTCTTGCGATGTAGATGAGACAGCCGCGATATACGCGGCCCTCATGAAAAGGGCGTGGGAAACGTGCGATCAAGATCGGGTTTGGGCTTGGAGTAAAGGTGGTGTTGATCAGCTTCTGGACAAGATATCCAAAGTATAAAGGGCATTAAAAATATTAACATAGAGGCTCACGAGGATACGACAGGGCATAAACTTGCTTAATAGTTATACCATGTCCAATTGGGTCAGTCTCTGTTGCATACGGCTCCCATTCAGGTGATTGTTGACCCAGCAACGGCCCAAACTCGTGTATTAGTGCTGACGAAAGTAAACTATTTTACCATCATTAGAATTATTTATCTGCAGCCATGACCAGACTTGGTATCATACATGGGCTGAGCGAGCCGTACAACATGCAAGTCAGTGAAGAACCATATATATATAACGGGTGCGACGTTTGTATCCCTGAGACAAGCTTAAGGCCAAGCGCATCACATGCCAGATGAACAGAAACCTATCCACGATATACCATAAACCAACTCACCAAAGTATTGCGCAAAACTCTATCAAACCAGTTCCTTGTCTTGTCCATACCCCTCGGGGAGAACCCAGTTCATCTAACGGATCGGCATTCCAACACGCCTAGCCAGAGAGATTTGCCAGAACACCAAGCCCGGGTTTCGACGTTGGAGTGTTTGCCTCCTCTTGATGAACGAACACGGGCCATACGTATTGACTTGGGCTATAGAATGCTTTGCCGTGTCTATGGAGTTGCTAGGAAACCGAAACCGAGTCAGTTTTCAACGTCACCAAAAAATACCACGTGGGCACAAGCATCACAACGGTCAAACATAGTGCGGCCAGATGTGATTGTAAACGCAGTTTGTACGCTAATTAAACTAGACCAATCAAAGCGCGATAGATAGCCCAAAAGTATAAGCTTCAACACGCCCGCTCAATCCAACTCTTAACCCCTCATAAAATCAAATCAAAGCAACAATAACTGTCTTCCTATAAATACGATGCTTTCTCAAGCCCATGATTATGCTATATGTATATAGGGTTAGGTATCCAAATAGCCTCGGGGGCGTAACAGCCCTATTACAAATACATAGCGGTGACCCAATTTCTTTCGTTCGCTGCCCGTCAAATTGCGCCGTTTTCCTCGACTATTGGAAAGCGAGGAAATTGTATATAATAAAAATAGCCTTTTTTTTGAAAATTTTTGGTGGAAAAATGGAAACAGGGTGTGATTAAAACCCAAGTACCCAAATCCATCTTTTATCCAGTGTATAATGGCTCAGCCAACAATTCTTCATTTATAGTTGGCCAGACAGGAGAGCCTCGGTAGCTAGGGCACATCTTAAGTTAGCTGAATGACCAACAGAGAGGAGCTTAAGGAGGGTACAATTACTTACCGCTATTAATGTAGGCTCTCTTCGCATCCAAGGGCACGTCAAACCGACGCTCCAATTCCTGCTTGATACCCTTTTTAGTCACGGTCATCAGGTCCGCTGTCTTCAAAATATCCCGGATTTCAGCTAATAGAGCATCATCACTAGGCAGTCCAACCATGTCGTCAGGGTTGAAGAACTGTGAGCCTCCGAACTGGCTCATGCGGTGATGACCTATGTCTGAATGAGCAAGAGACATGCGCGAGTTATTGCGGGAGTCATAGGGCAATGCGTGTGCGGCAAAACCAGTAGTGGAATCTGGTCGGCTGGGGAATCCGTATTCGGATACAACAGCCTGGGCCTTAGTTCCATAGCTGATGCCAGAAATCTCGGAGCGACTATCGTCGCGGGATGTCTGAGTCTCCCACAGCTCAGCCTGGTATTCCTCCCACTTCTTACGCGGGATAGAGCTGGGGTCGAATTTGCCTTCGTCTGAAATAACAACCTTCTTGCCCTTTTCACCGGCGACAACACGAGTGGTACCCCAGTTGAAGTCATCCATGTGCCAGAAGGCATACAACGGCAGACCAAAACTGAAGACAGGTACAGCCATGACATACAGAATCATCCAGCCAACCATTTCCCACTTGCGACGAAGAATGAAAATGATGGCTTGTAAACCGTATATGGCGCCAAGTAAGATGAAAGCTGTAATTGGAACAACAGTCGTCTTCGTTGCGACGAGGACAATCAGGTACGCAATATAGGCAATTGTAACAGGTTGCACAACGGTACTGAGCAAATCGATGAAAACCACAAAACGCATACTAAAGCAGCAGAAACCGCAAAGCTGGGCCATCGGGATCAGTTCCATCAGATTGTGCACAGTAGAATTAATCCAACGACGTCGCTGAGAAAGGAAAACTTTCCAAGAATCCGGAGCAATTGTCCATGCGTGAGCGCTGAATAGATATTTGGTCTTGTACTTGGAATGATACTTCAGAAGCAGCGTCGTGAGGTATCGGTCTTCACCGAGATGCAGCAGGTTCTTCATGTGCAGCGTGTCCACACGAATGGTAGCGTACGAGTCAACCACTTCCCGACTGACAAAGAGAGGTTTTCCCGTCTCGGCCGCTCGAATTCGATACATGGAGAAGCAGCCAGGTAAGCAAGTGACGGAACCAAACAAACTCTCAAAGGCCTTAGAAAGGTTGTGAGAAATGTAGTACTCATAAACCTGAATCATAGTAATGAAGGAAGACTTAGCATTCGTCAGAGCAGTCTCTCCACAAACCGCAATCAAGCGAGTGTCATCCAAGAATGCAGAAACCATGCGAGTGGCAGAGTCGGGGGCGACAACAGTATCAGCATCAATCTGAAGCATGAACTCATAGAATGTGGGGTTGACGCCGATAATATTGCGAATTTGGTGGTACATTTCCAATTCCAGAGGACTCATGGCCAGGTTGTAGTGAACGCGGTTCAAGAATCGCATCAAAATCATCTGAGAGTCACGTTTGCCACGATTTCCAGGACGAGCCACTTCAGACGGCTTGCCAACCTTGACAATAACAAGGAAGGGGACGATGTGACCCTGCACCTCATACAGGCCTGAGTAGACCTTGCCCATGTTGTGTTGCTTCAGGCCTTCGCCGAGAGATTCGAAACTAAGTGGTTCCGGGTCTACAGTTTCAGAGACACCAAGAATATCCAAGACAATACGGGGAGTAGGTCTGTCGTTGCCTTGGCCGATAATCATACCGTCACAGACGATGACTAAAAGTTTACGCTTGTCATCATAGCGCATTCTGGCCGCTGAATCAATGGCACGGCGAAGCGAATCTTCGTCTTCTGTATAGGCGGGAATCTGGCACATGACGAATTTGTCCAGGTTTTCGGGAACATTCTTCCCCCCAAATTGAAGAGCAGCGAAGAATTTGAAGGCAATGACCGAAACTAGGAGAATAGAGACGGCAAGAACCAAGTACTCGGCAAACTTACAGCGAGTAGAGTTTCTCGTGTCCACATCACCAACGTAGAAAAGATGGTCAAGGCATGTTTGCATGCGAGCTTTGACGTCTGGGGCAAGAGCCAAAGAGTTCCAAAACTTGGTTATATCCCCGCCGGCTTGGCTCTGGAAAAGTGCAACAACCTTTTGATCCATAAAGTCGGCAAGCTTTGGATCACTCGGAAGCGACTCGCCGGGTTTGACACGAAGACGACGTCCGCCGACAGTGTAAGCAGTCAAGTCATAGACACGGCTTCCAATGCTCGCAATAACCTGTCTCTTCGCACCAAGCTTCGCAAGGTATTCGGGGGAGTACCCAATGGTCCCTTTGCCATAGTTTCCTTTGAGCATGATGAGTTGTTCCAGATACCAATCGGGGCGTGTGTCATTAGTGAAATAGCGGAAATCGTGGTATTGGGCATTTAAATCCTGAGAATTGATCAAGGCTGGTGACCCGGTCATGTTGATGTTCTTATAATCCAGAGTCACCGCCTGGTCCACGGAACCATCCGTGCCTTGACACAGAGCAGAGACTTGTACAGGGAAAAGAGAACTGACATCCATGCCAGCGTAGTTTAACATTGTTTTTCTGCTCACAAAAGATGGATAATGACGGTCCGCGAAACTGCCCAAGTCGATGACGTAACCGCGGACGGATACATAAGCTGAGTTTCCATCTTTGCCATCGTGAGAAGAGAGCTCAGCGGCGCTGAAGACGTTTTGCTTCGGGCAAATAAGCATAGGGAACACGACGATAAAGAAAGCAGCAACGAGACACATGAACCAGATGAGCATATTAATGGCCAATTTCTCTCTCCATGCCATGCGGACATCTTTTCGAGGCATGCGGCCCATCCATCGGATGAGGAAGTCGGGAATAAACCAGGTGAGGAAGTAAACCGTGAAGACCCAACGCTTCCGGCTTGGTGAATCCTTGAATTCCTCGATCTCCTCAAGATTCTTTTCATTGCCACGCTCTGCCATCTGTTCACGCGTATCAAAGTTTTTGAACATATCTCCGCCACCGATGGCAGAGGCGCCGGCCTCCGATCGAGCATCGTCAGAGCCGAAATAGCCAGGTCTGCCTTTTTCACCATACATGAGAGGGGTGTTACCTCCTGACAATAGTTGTTCCTTGGAGGCGCCAAAGGCATCACGCTCTCCGGGCGTCGCCCCATCATTGCCATAGCCATCGGACGATGGCAAGGCGAAGCGGCCTTGTGCTGCAGAGACGTCAACAAGGCGAGCAACCTCCATCCAGCACCGCTCACTGAGGAAGACGCCGGTGGATCCGATTTGTATTTCATTACTAGGCCAGCGCTTTTCTTCAATGACCATTTCGGCGCGTTCTCTTTCGCTGCCGACCAAAATGGTTTCGGCATCAGCCATTCCAAGAAACTCGCCAAAGGGAAGGAACAAGCTGAAATCAGCGGATCGTAGCCTCTGGCTAATTTCGGCGATGCCGAATGTCTGGACTTGAGTACGGACACATTTACTATCGAACTGATTTGCAATTCGGCGGTCATTGGGCTTCAAACAAAAGACAAAATAGGCATTCGTGCCTGGGTCTGTGACGGCTTTCTGGACGTTGTCTAGAGACGACAGAAATTGTCCAGAGGCACCTTGATCGATGCCACCTTTATTGCCTCCCTTAGGACTTCGAGACTCAGCATGCGTGTTGCCACTGTCGAAAAGATTGCTCTCCTGCTGACGACGTTGAGAAGCGATACCGCGACCTCTTCCACCCTTACGAGACAT